TCCTATTTAGGAAATCAAATATTCATTAAGGACAAAAAAGTTAAAATATAATATTTTTTAAACTACACCTCTATTAAGTAATAACCTCCCTAAGAATATAAAATTGGGTTGTCCCAACTTGATGACTTTATAGAGGTTTTACTACACACACACACACACACATATACTCCCAACTTGATGACTTTATAGAGGTTTCACTGTACACACACACACACACATATTCCCAACTTGATGACTTTATAGAGGTTTAACTATATATATATACACACACACACTAGCAATTGTACACATACTAAGCATGTGCTTATTGAAATCTACAAGGAAAGAAAATATAAAGTGGTCACTAAACCATTTTGGTGACGATCTTCAAACGATTTTTCGTCACTAAAGAGGTTGTTCATATCTTTAGCGACTATTTCTGGATAACTATTTCATCACTAAAAATTTATTTTACTTGGGATAAAAACGTGGAAGAGAGAGTGGAGGCCACTCATATGGTAAGCTGGTTGTGAGGCTTTGAAAAAAAATACAATAAAAATTTATTGTCTTTAATTTATTTTATTGCCCATAACTTTTGTTTTTGAACAAATATTGCCCATAACTTTTGTTTTTGAACAAATATTACCCATAACTTTTATTTTGGTTATTTTTCTTTTGTTTTGTTGACAAAGTTAATTTGATCTTTTCACCATCTGTTTGTTGATATGGAGGATTTTGTTAATAAGCAGTTTAGATATATACAAGGTTGGGATCCAGAGATATTTTGACACATATTTTGACACTCATTTTGTATGGCTCACTTTGCAACTTTTTTCAAAGACCCAAACCATCTATTTTTCAATTAATCATTCATAGATCATCCTTATAAAAAATTAGACAAATCCAAAACCACTAAGACATTCATTTTTAGTGAAGAAAGTGGACGAGTACTGTCACATCCTAGTCTCGACTCCGTCGTAGCACGATATTGTTCGCTTTGGGCTTACCATTCCCTCACAGATTTGTTTTTGGGAACTCAAACGAGAATTTCCCAGTGGGTCACCCATCCTAGGATTGCCCTCACCCGAACTCGCTTAACTTCGGAGTTCCGATGGAATCTGAAGCCAATGAGTTTCCAAAAAGCCTTGTGCTATATGGAGGGGAGCATATACATATAAGGAACATCGCCCCCTCTTCGTCGGTCGATGTGGGATCTTACAATCCACCCCACTTAAGGGAAACCCGGCATCCTCGATGGCACATCCGCACCGAACAGCACAGTGGCTCGGATACCATTTTGTCACATCCTAGTCTCGACTCTGCCGTAGCACGATGTTGTCCGCTTTGGGCCCCAGCCACGCCCTTATGGCTTTGTTTTTGGGAACTCACACGAGAACTTCTCAGTGGGTCACCCATCCTAGGAATGCTCTCGCCCGAACTCACTTAACTTCAAAGTTCCGATGGAATTCAAAGCCAGTGAGTTCCCAAAAGGCCTCGTGTTATAAGGAGGGGAGCATGTACATATAAGGCACATCACCCACTCTTCGTTGGTCGATGTGGGATCTTACAAGTACGGTTCCTTAAGAAACACTAAAATAACTATCATTAGTCCAAATAGTTCATTGAAATAAATTATGAAGTGGGCACTACAAAATAAGTATCATCTACATATTACTATCCTAAGCTACACTAAGAAAGAAAGAGAAATTAAACATAAAACGCATTAGATTGAGGAGAAAAATGACATCTAGAAGCACAGTCTTCATAATTTGAACTTTGCATTAGCAATAGTCAATAGGAATAAAAATCACTAGGACATTGAAATTTCGAATCGGAGGATTATGGTAAAATGTTGATGGTAGACTTGGACCATCACCCCAGCCCAACCGAAAACAATTACTAAATGTAGCACGAGTGATCCTCTCCTGCACATCAAAACACTAAAAGCAAGGTTGCTCATTTGGTTAAATCTCATCTGCTTACTCATAAATAAATAAATAAATGTACGAAGGAGAATTTCCGAATGTAGCACTACCGTCTGAGGAAATATGACAGGCATATGCCACTCAACTTCGGCCTTATTCTATCTATATTTTTTTTAAAGTATGAACTTCTGTAGCTAAAGAAAGTATCAACTTTGTGATAATTATTATTGTCTATTCCCATCGAGGCCCAGGCAACTGGGGTTTGGGCTGTTCAGTTTTAGCCTCACAAATGATAGATTTTAAATGCTTGGGTCGGAGATGGGCCCTAAAGAATCTTGGTGCTGCTACTGCTACTGCTATCTATATTGGACATAAATTTGTAGGTCCAATATTTGTTATTGTGGGCCTTACAATAAAGCCCTTCCCCACCAAATAACACCCTCTAAAACTTTATGCCTTTTACTTGAATTATTTGGTGGTACATTGGTTCCATTGTTTTTAGAGTTGTTTATTCACGGATAACAAGAACATTTTGCTTTAGATTGTAATCACGTTGTCATTTGGGTTGAAGAAACCAATTCATCATGAAATATGGTGCGCCAGAGAAGACCTCACTTTGTCGAAAAGGTTGATGAAGTGACTTTTTTTGACGAAAGAATCCAAGACTCTTCACTGGCAAGACTTGAGATAAATAGTTAGCCACAAACTTGGGAGAATCCCCGTCTATCCAATCGGTTGAGACTCCTAAGGCAAACTGACTCTACAACACTAGCCATGTCTATACAGTCGGTCGCTTTCCCTGGTTGCTTATGGAAAACCCTGTCTATCCAATCGGTCATTGTCTGTTGGCTGCCAACCCAAACCCATATTCAATTGGAATTTGTGCTTGCAACTAGTTTTCACAAAGGGTGTGAAAGATTTCACATAAAACATATGATTTGTGTGTCGAGTTAAAGGTCTTCTTTACGTTGCCAATCCTCTTGTATAGGAGCAAATTCTTTGATGCCCACGTCTGCCGAGTTGTACAATTCTAATCGTACGACAACTCCTTGGCATATCATCCAAATGCACTTGGAATTATCTTTTGGAAATCCTCCTTCCACCAAAACTCTGTCACCACCGAATGTAGCTTTCTTCGACTTGAACTAGGATTCTGAGTCTAATCCTCTTATGAGACCCATTCTTATTTCATCTAGACGAGTTTTGATCCTTAAACGATCTAATAGATATCTTATCAAAACTCATCCTAATCCTCAAAATCCTACTTTGTTTAGGACTTGACCGAGCTACTAGCAACTCACTACTGGGCCAAGTATGTCACCATTGGGCTGAGACTTTCAGCCTTCTTTTTGCGCTAATTCTTTCTTGACCCAAACTCAAGATTTCAGGCCCAGACACATACGTACGTTACCATTAAACCCTTGAAGAGAAAAAACAAAAAATGAACCATGATTAGCATATACTAAAATAAAATAGAAGTTACCCTAAAAGTAAAATACCTAACAAATATGCATATATGCGTAACGCATTGCATTGCAAGCCTAAACTTGAGTTATGAACCCTTGTAATATTTTAAAAAATAAAATTTATACAATATTTATACTATAAGGTGAGAGATTTGAGCTAAATTACACGATGAGCCTGTCATAATAAATGAATATAGAACTCACCATTTATGATATTTAAACTTAAAATTTCTCACTTACAATTACAAGAAAAATACATCTAAATCGTAAAACTAAACTGAATGAGACGAATCAGCAAACTTGTGGTCCTAAAAGATATGCTGGCAACTTGGCATAAAAGTTGAGAAAAAGAATCATGAGAAATATATAGTTGGGGTATCAAGCGTCAAACATTTTCCTAGAATACAACCAAAACCAAATTCCGCTTTCCTCCAATTGAATCGTGAAATGGATTGAATGGATTGGAGGGCATTCAATGATGGCCCTTTGGTTTGGTTTAGTTTAGGCATCAAACACCATTAACCACATAGAAACAAAATAGACTTTTGAGACGAAGAATATAGAAATAGACTTTTTTTTGGGATTTGGACTTTTGAGACGAACAAAATAGACTTATTTATTTATGGGATTTGGATCCAATGTAAGATCTTAAGAATTTTCACATCTTATCCGCTCATCGTACACAAGATTCTAAACTATGCTAGATGCTAGTCGGCGGCAGGCTGGAGCCTAGCACTTAGGCGGCTAGGTGGGTACCTAGGCAGAGTAGGCGGATTTAAGTAAATATATTGTATTTCGTATAAATAAGTGTGTTTATATTTAAAATATATATAATTTCATCATAAATTATAAAATATAATGACATATATACTATGAAGTATTAGAACATAATGAAAACATGGGAATCAAACATATAATGTGCGTTTATTTAAGTGTTCAATAAATCTCTTACAATTTATTGGAAATAATAAAATGCAAAAGGAAAGTTATCTATTTTCTATCTAAGTGAGTTGCAATCTAGACGGGTGTCTAGGCGGTTTAGGCGGGTGCCTCAGTAGGTCTAGGCGTTATTTCTTAATTTTCAAACGTCTAGGCATTAATCGGGATTGTGGTCAGCTGCCTAGAGCCTAGGCGGGGATTTTTAGAATAGTGATCGTATATCGTGTGGCCAGTTTTTGTTAGATACTGTTTGTGCTTAGTTTTAAATAAAAAATTCATAATAATTTCTGACCACACAATGTACGATGAATGAGTAGGATGTGAGAATCCTTAGAATTTTTACAAAGATGATCCTGATGGGATCCAAATCCCTTTCTTTGGGGACCAACTAGTACGAGCAAAAGAGAAAGACCCACATATTTGTGGAATACTACTCCCTTTTGCCTTGTGAATTATTCAACAAATTTGTGGACCAAAATGTGTTTTAGGGGACAATTAAGACTCATCTGGGGCAATCAATGGAGGACAATTTAACTCCTTAAACCCTCCTGTTCATGGTCCTCCAAATTGGTTTCAGAAATCTGTGTAAACTGCATATAATTTGATTCTTGGTATTTTTTTATTTTTTTGGAGAAGATTCTTGGTTATTTAGAGTGCATAATTATGCACATAACAACTAATGTCCAACAAATATTATAAAAATCTATTTCCATTACAAGAGAGAGTTGGTTTCTTCTGAATGAGGAAGAAGCAACTGCATTACATACATATTGGGATCTTCTGGAAACAGAAGAGAAAAAAAAAAAGGATCAACTTAACACAGAGACTGACTACTCACACAAGCTGCAAACATTCGGTTAATAAAGGAAACAGAGGGGGAGTGGTATTGGGATTGGATTACATTGGATTGGATTGGATTATTCAACTTCTTAATTTGCTTCTTTTCACTTGTATTCCAAGATCATGTTGTTCTCTGGAGCCAGACCAACACAAGCCCTCAGTATGTTCTCCAGCATTGCCCTCTGCTTTGACAGTGCATTCACCACGGGTGTACCTGGCGGAACCTGTTCTCCCAACACCATCACAAATTAGTATTTCACCACAGTTACACATGTATAACAGATTATACCAATGACAGCCCAAAAATCATTCATCTCAGAAAGTCCGGAAGAAAATAACTAATATTTGACTTACAAGAGGAGCCTTGCTGAGGTAACTGAGAATTGTAGCCACAGGGTGGAAAGAGTGGAACTTGGCCTGCAAACACACCGATATAACGATATTAACTAATGTCACATTTACGTTTCACATCACACTGTGTAATGATATCAGTTACTGTCACAGGGTAGTTAATTAAGCATACCTCTGCTTCAGATTTGAGCTGGATACGGGTGCTGAGTTCAGCGAGGAGAACTAAATCGAGGATGATAGGAGCAGCCAAGAGGGAATCCTCACAGGTGTTGTGCAACACAATGGTGCTTTTCCCACCCATGAAAATCTCAGAGGTGTACTCATCCAGGGCTCTCTTGCTGTCCCCAACATATGGCACATACTTGATCACCACAACATGGTCAGGGTGCTCGCCTGGCCCGTAGAGGATGCCATTGCTGGACACCATGTCATCCACAACATTGCTCTTTGAAATCTCTTTTGACCGGAAGGTTTGCGGTGCGGAAAGGTTCATGCCGTCATTGTTCCCAAGATGGTTGTAGCTCACTATGGATGTTGGCTTGATTCCAGCCCCAACAAGGAAATCAACCAACACAGACTTCATCTTGGTCTGACCACTCTTAAAGTCATCTCCACCGATCAAACTGTTTCTCCTAATTGCCAAATCAATGAGTCCTGCCAATTTTCCAATATTCACATTCAAATTTCCACTACAAACTCTTCACTAGTAAAATGTTTTCAAAATATTGAAAAGACGAAAAGGAAAAACAAGAAAAAGAAAAGGGTTATTATTAATTTGGTTAGCTAAGTAACAGGGTAGGGTACCTGGGACAAAAGTGTTTTGTGGGCTTCCATTGATGAAAGGAACATTTTCAAGAACACAAGCTATGGCATACAATGTGGAAGGAGATATCTCAGCGTCATTCTTGTCCACCGAACCCAACAGGTTCTCAACGGTGTCGTTTAGCCCCACAATCACATTACTATACCTTTCAGTGTTGGCAGTCCACAGCACAACCACCTTGTCCACCTTGCTCTTCTCCTTGAACTCCCTGTTTAATTAAATTAGCACACTCAAGCATTATATTAGCACCAAATTAACTTTCTTTCCCTAAAAGAACAAACACCTTCACAGTTAATTCTGCTTAATCCAGTATTAAATTAACTGTTTAAAACATTATCATTGTTACCTAATGTCTTTAATGACTTGTTGGAGTTGTTCCTTCTTGGTGCCCTTGATGACGTTGTTGGCACGAGCACCTTGGTTGGCAGCGATGAAATCGGGGTCGTAGATTCCAGGGAGTGGGAGCATGGACTCCATGTATGGCCTCAGTTGCTTTTGCAGATCAATGTCAAGGACCTTTGCCCTTGCCATTGCATCTGCTAAGTTCATGTCACTAATGTCCCAACCCCCAAACACAATGTCATCGGGCTTCACCTGAATTACCAGATCTTGAATTATATAATCAATTAAATAACACCATTTAGGAAATTAAAAGTAGAAAAATTACCATAGGCAGGAGGCTCTTGAACGGGGCATAAATCTCCTCGCCGTTGAAAGACCCAACACGGATGGATGAGGCTTGGGTCAGTGAGCCAAAGTAGTTGGCTTGTTGCACCTTGTCTTTGGTTGCCCAGGAGATTCCTCTGAGAGATTACAAAACCCATATCTTACAATTAATTAAAACTTCATGTACAACGAAATTCGTACATCTGAGAATCAAATATAAACAACCAATCGTAAACATTAGAGATTGGATTTGATCGAATTACTTAATTGCATGAGGAAAAGGAAGAAACTGAAGAACTACTCACTCTCTGTTTGCAATCACACCAGCAGTGAGGGTTGAGCCATTGTTTCCACCCCAACCCACCAGCATTACCCTGCATTCCAAAATTAACACACACATCAAATGAATGAAAACATAAAAAATTTTAAGTCTGACCCAGAAAATATATGAAAGAAACAATCACAACCCAGAAATTAATTATTATTATTTTTTTAATTTTTAAGGGAAAAAATGAGAATGTGCGATAAATGGTGCAAACCCTAGTTTGGGGACATGGATATCAGTCTTGAATTCGTATTTGATAGATTTGGGCTTCACAATCCACTGATACTTTCCATTTCTGTTCTCATGCACAAGCTCAGTGGTTTCGTAGCTGTACACCGAATGAATCTCATTCTCTGTGTACACCACGTTCGGGGACTCTACCTTAAAGCTATCGATGAACATTTTCTCTGTTTTTTTTTTTCCTTCTCTTCCTTCCTAGGAAATTGAATTTTCTTGGGAACCAAACAAGATTGGAGAGGAGAGGAAGACGAAGGTGTAGCAATAGCTCTGAAATCTGAATCCTAAGGCTTGCACTGCGCCATGAACTTGCTCCAATGCCTTGTATTTATAGAGTGGATGTGACACCGCAGATACACGTGGCTCAGCTGAGTGGCCTCTAGTGCCCCAGTATTCTTGGCTCTTTCTACAGAGAAAGGCCTGGCCATGCAAAAAGCAAAATACTGAATAAGAGAAAAAGGAAATGAAATGAAGAAAGAAGAGGTCCATCTATACACTAATTTTTCCATATAAAAAATATTCACAAGTTATTTTATACAACAAATACATTTACATTAAGAGGTCAGAAGGAATAAAGTGATATTGAAATTGTCATTTACGATATTGGAATTGTAGACCTCCCATTTACAATTAAAATAAAATACCACTAAATTGTAGTATTAAGTGGAAAAAGTTCATCTATATAGACCTCTAAGTTTTACATTATAATGAAGGGAAATTTTATTTGAACTCATATTTTGTATCTCAAAACCCAACTTACTTTTTATACCCACTATTTGATTTATCTATCACTATCTCTTTACGCCCAACATTATTTCCGAAACATCCCTTACTTATCAAAACTCAACTCAATCAAACTTCTTTTTACACCCAACTCAATCTACTTAAAAATAAAAAATAAAACCTTAACCAGTCCATCATCTCCATGGAGCAAAGCCCCTTCTCTCTCTCTTTAAAAAATCCTACCATCTCCCATGGTTGTCATTATGCACCCACATCTACTCCTTTGTAGTCATCCAAATCTTTTCCTCTTCCTTTTCTTCATCATTTGACATCTCTAAATTTCTAGAGCACTAATTAGCTTAATAATTGGTACGTGTTCAATCGATTGGTTCAATTTTTATGTATTGATTCCTTTTTCTTTTCAATTAAATGAGCTTCGTGTTTAATGAGTTAGGTATGTTTCAATTAAATGAGAATCTTCTAGACTCTATATTCCTATCTGTGGTAGAAAAATAGATACGTCCATGATAATTTTTGGTAGATCAATGAATATTTTTAACTGTGGATATTTATTTATTTATTTTTTTGTCGAAACAGTGGATATTTATTAGGTACAAAAGTTGCAGACAACAATTACATTACATTGAGCTATGGCTTAAAAGTATATCGCCTTTGCACATTTTAAAGGCAAACTTATAGCTAAGTAGTTTTTATTGTGGAGTAAAACTTCAAGAATTGATCTAACCTGGATGTGTAATTAAGTTTATGCATTTTAATGATTAAACTGATAAATATTTCAACAACATATGGATTTAATATCATAGTATCTTTTAGCCTCTATATGCTACAAAAGTTGCAGACAAAAATTCACAATACATAGAATTGTGGTAAAAAAGTAGGGAAATGATAAACACACACCTTTTATAGCTTCCTACACACCCCTGGCTAATCATGTCCGTTGTTTTCATTTGATTTATTCAATCCGATGGCCTAGAACAAATAGGGGTGTGGGAAAAGCTATAAAAGGTGTGTGAAAATCAGCTCCCAAAAAGTATATCTCCTTTACACGTTTTATAGGTGAACTCATAGGTAAGCAGTTTTTATTGTTGACCAAAACTTTGGGAATTGATCTAACTTGAATGTATAATTGAGCTTATGCATTTTAATGATTAAATTCAAAAATATATCGATCGCATATGAATTTAATATCCTAGTGTCCTTTAGCCTCTATATTGGTATCTGTGGCAAAAAAATGGGTACCTCCATGAGAAAATTTTGTAGATCGATGAATATTTTCAATCTGAATATTTATTAGATTCCAGAAATTATAAGTCTATTCATGAAAGTCTAAGTCAATGCCACATACAATATTTGTTAATATATATTTAGTGAACTATTATTAGCACTCCAAAAATCTCATTCTACACTTTGCACAAGTGTATTTTTCTTTCTAATTATAGAAAGTTTGGAGTGCCAAATGAGATTTTTGGAGTGCTAATAACGATTTTCTATACTTATATACATTTGATTTTAGTTTGGAAGTTGACTTCCTTTTTTTTTCTCTATCAAGTTGGGAGTATCACCGACTGTGACCCTGTGCAACTAGTTGTTGATTCGTTTTGAATAATCAACATTATTTCTTACAATGCCTTGGGCGTATGAATACTAGAAAGAAAACAGTCTTAATACAAGCTGAATAAGAGTAATACTAATTATTAAACAACTTGTGCATGATGTTTGCTTATAACACAATCTCAAAATTTAATTAAACTCACATAACAACAATAAATAAAGGCATTATCACAACTTAGGGGTGGTGAGCAATCCCATTAAAATAGAACTTAATATATACATATTAAAAACAAAAAAATTGATGCAAAATCTCCCGATGACTAATACTATTCCAAGTCATGCATGAAACATACACATTTGTCCCTTCATGCCATTTGGTTATAAGCAAACATCATGTATTTACTAATACTATTCCAAGTCATGCACAAGTTGTTTACTAATTAGTATTACTACTATTCAACTTGTATCATGACCGTTTTATTTCTGTTATTCATACGCCCAAGACATTGTAAGAAATAATGTTGATTATTCAAAATGAATCAACAACTAGTTGCACAGAGTCACAGTCAGTGATAATCCAAACTTGATAAAGAAAGAAAAAAAAAGGAATTCGACTTCCAAACTAAAATAAAATGTATATAAATATAGAAAATTGTTATTAGCACTTCAAAAATCTCATTTGGCACTCCAAACTTTCTATAATTAGAAAGAAAAATACACTTGTGTGGAGTGTAAAATGAGATTTTTGGAGTGCTAATAATAGGTCCCTAAATATGTCTTAACAAATATTGTACGTGGCATTGACTTAGACTTTCGCGAATAGAATTATAATATATGGTATCTAATAAATATCCAGATTGAAAATTCATCGCTCTACAAAATTTTCTCATGGAGGTACCCATTTTTTGCCACATATACCAACATAGAGGCTAAAAGACAATACGATATTAAATTCATATGTGGTCAAGATATTTATGAATTTAATCATTAAAATGCATAAGCTCAATTATACATTCAAGTTAGATCAATTCCCGAAGTTTTGGTCAACAATAAAATTCCTATGAGTTCACCGATAAAACATGCAAAGGCGATATACTTTTTAACCACAGTTCTAAGTATTGTGAATTTTTGTCCGCAACTTTTGTGGCATATAGAGGCTAAAAGATATTGCAATATTAAATCCATATATGGTCGAAATATTTATCAGTTTAATCATTAAAATGCATAAACTCAATTACACATCCAGGTTAAATCAATTCCCGAAGTTTTCCTCCACAATAAAAATTGCTTAGCTATGAGTTGGCCTATAAAATGTGCAAAGGCAATATACTTTTTAGCCACCTGATGTGAAATATTCTAACACTCAAATTAAAACCCTATGATTGTAGTATATGTAAGTAGGGCTCGTTTTAGGCCGGAGATTAGAAGGGTTGCTAATCTACACAAATTAAACTTTAAAACACTAAACTAGACTCAAAAACACTAAACTAGACACTTAAGACTTAAAATTGACTCAAGCTACTCAAAACAGCACAACTAAGTGAAATTGACTCAAAACAGACTCTAAGGAGTTATTTGGACGAATTTAAGACTATCAAGACTCAAAACACTAAATTGAACATATTTATACACTTTTTTAACTAATCTAACACACTTAATTAAAGAGGGGGATTGATTTGAACGAAATTAATTAAACTAAACAGATTGCAAAACAAAGTAAAGTAGATATGAAATTGGGTGATTTGAATGGTAAAAACTTAGCCAGAGGATCCTTCTCCACACATGAACATATGCAACATAAATCGATTTCCAGTATTGTTTCTTTAAACCATGAATGACAATGCCCCAAATTAATTGTGAATGCACTAATTAACTTTCAGATTTCCCTAAATTTATTGAATTGAATGGACAACGCATCGCAACCAAATTATTCTTCTCAAGTTCCCTATATGAACAACATGATAGAGATACATATCAAAGATGATTAAGTTCTATGAAAATCATAAGCATTGACAAGGCATTCGGAACTATCAATTGCATGATACTCTTGCCCATAATTTGCTTAACATGATTGTGACTAGCAATCTCCACTACTTTTAATTATAAGTTCATAACGATTAGGTGAAATTCCCTTATAATTTAGCATCAAATTCATGCATGCAAACTAAGTATGCATCCTTAATCAACACACAAGAATAAGTTCTCAATCAAACATATAAGTAAATCACATTCATGTTTTACGAAACAATAATTGAAAGTAATCAATTCATATAAAACATATGTCCATGGCTTCGAATTCACCTCTAACTAAAAAGGAATTAGTTCCACATGTTCATAACAATTGAAAAGCAACAGAAAATAAACATGGAAACGAAACGAGGGAAAAAAGAACTCTTAGAACTCCAATGGTTGCAGGTGGCTTGCGGTACAAGGTCCTCCTCCTCCAATGGAAGCCACGGCAAAGCTCCTTCTTCTCCAAAGTTGCGGCAAAGGGTGTTAATTGATGTTTTTACAGCTGAAAGGGGGTGTAGAATTATATGGGGGGGTGGTGGTCAAAATTATGGCTGAAAACATATATTTATAGGCTAAGGTTTGGCCGAATTTTTGGAGGAAAAGGCTTAGGGTTTTCGCACAAGGCTTGGCCAATCCAATGGGGGAAATAACTAGGTTTCTGGCAGATTTTTAGGGTTTCTAGAAGGGTTTGGGGCGCCACTTTTGTAGGGCTTCTAGAAAGAGTGTGTTGTGGCTGATTTCTGACCTTCTAGAAAAGTTTGGGGTGCCATCTTTCTAGGGCTTCTAGAAAGGTGGGTGCAGCACATGTATAAGAGAAGATATAGGCCTTCTATAAGGGTTTTAGGTCCCCTTGCAGCTGATTATTCTTCTTCCAAGTCTTGAATTAATTTCTCCATCTCTTTACCACATTCCTCGCTTCATTTGATCTTCAAAAATGTCCATTCCTTGTGCTCCACATGCATGCAATCCATTCCAGCCCAAAATTGCTCTAA